TTCGATGCCCAACTGTTATTAGTAGCATTTGATATAGAACCAGTGGGGCATTCTCAGACCAACATTAGCACACCCGCATTTTATAGCCACAATGTAGGAGGATACACCACTCATAACAGCACTTGACAAATTCTGAATTCCTTCACTGCTATCAGCGGTGAAGCTCTTAACAGTTCAACGAGAAATAGGTTTTGTAACTTGGTTTTCTCCAACGATGTTACTCGATCGAAATTGGTAGTTGTGTGCTTAAACCGGCAGACCGTGCTGAAAGAGTTGAACCAGGCAGAAACACCACATCATCAACTTAATTCAAGCCTGCGGATGTGCATCGGCCCACCGATACACTGGTACTTCGTAAGGCCATTTTTAGAACGTAATTCATGACAAAGAAGAATAAGGACTGTGAGGATGCGGCATTGTCTAACACTCAGTGTTGTGGGACTGGTCAGAAGCATGATTTACAGTGTGAACCCTGGTCCATGACAGACGACATGAAGCGATCGAATCAGGCTTAGTAGGACGTTTAGAGTTAGCATATTTAATGTTTTCCAGCATAATCCATTACGTTCGTTTGATAACTGATTTGAAGGCGGCTCTGATATCAACGTAGGCTTCCTGCTAGGACTTTTACAGTTTTTAAGTAGCTAAGACAATAAATGCAGATGCAGGATTGTTCCATTGTGAGTATTCTCGATGTCAATCCAGATTAACGCTATGTTTTACTGGGATCTCCAACAATGAGAGCCACTATATTAACAGCACACGAGCGAAGCTCTTATCTACAATGGATAGCGAAAAAGCAGAACTACTACAATAACTGTTACAATCTATGCGAAGATCCTTGCGTGTGCAGAATAATGACATTCGAGCAAAATGAAGCATGAATATATGATATATGTCCCAATTGTGTCATGTAGCAGTTTAATATAAATGGGCTTTACTGATGCAAAACTGGACTGAAAGATTAAGGGGAGGACTGACTCCATTTGCTCAGCAGAAAAATGGTATATACATAATACAGCTTAGGCTCTTAACATTTTTTGGTTTGTATTTTGTGTTAATTATGACACTGAGTGATCACGTCAGATGGATCAAGGAGAATTGCAATACCAAGAGGTACTCACATCAGACAGCACAAAATACGACCATACCAGAACATCATTCTGTTCCTGTTACTCGCAAGTTAAGAAATTACTACCTCCTCTTCGACAAGTTGCACCAAAGCAACATGCGGCGGTTTCATTCCTCAAATGAATTGACTGTTACGAGGAATGGATATATAGATTTTATTGCGATTCCAATTTCACAATTTTGGAATTCCAAGCCGACCTCTTACCGCTGTGCAATCATTCTTTCACGTCATCATCGACTAACTGTAGCCGCCATCAGGTTATGCGAGCTAGCATATAATCTGACTGCATCTGTTCAAATGGTACCTGGACCAAGGTTTATTAAGAGGATGATACTGCACTCACGGTTATGAACGATATCATTAAAATCATAAACTTCAATGTAGTTGCTATCTTCATAACTTCAATCGCTACACTATCAGCAAATGGTGTTATATAAGAAGACACAATGAGTTAGTTCTTTCTTCATTTTGCAACAATTTGGAGGTTAGCATAGAGCAAACAATTCTTTGTCATGTTCATTAAAAAATCATCCTTTACTGTTGAAATAGATGGATGCTTGTGTTCATGAAATTACATGTTTGGGTGCATTTTATAATGGGACAAATATGATCAGAGACAGCCTTACGTTGCCAATCGGCGAAATCAGATTTTTGAAATTAGTTCTTCATATTGTATACTCCACGGACACGGGAAATGACAAATGGACAGGATGAAGAAAATATCCGAACCGCACAGAGTAAGCAAAATCAGAAGTGAAAAGTAGGTGCGACTTTCATGGCCAAGGTCTGGAAATCCGAAAATGAAACAGTGTTGATTCCAGAACTTGTAGCATCACTGTTGGAGAAAAATGCAGCAATTCATCATCAGCGTTCATACTTGTCATCAGAGCAGCCACCTGTACAGGATTACGTCTATGAGTGTTCAATGCCTCAGTGACTAAAAGGTTCGCATACTTTCGGTGGTTGAAAGTTTTCCAGAAGTACACAACATACAACATAAACGCCTATCAATCACAAGCGTTGTCAATTCTCACAAACCTGGCATATCCCTACAGAACCATAATGGCTGTATTATAACGTTCGTAGATTGTCAACATGAATTGCGTACATTGCATACAATGTTTCAGATGTAGGGCTCTTATTGCTGATTCTCAGACAATGACGTGTCTATCTTACCATGGGGGACCCATACCATTCATCATATGGAAGCGAGGTGCAATGGCTACTAATGATTGATTTGTCGCCTCATCATGCCGCATGCTTGAATGCAATGCAGAAATAGTGACCGCTGGGCGACAGTGTCGTTCGACTGGCTGCACCATTTCTAAACCTGGCAGACTCGTTATTTCGGGAATGTTCTACTTTTCCTTTTTATTTTCGGTTGTTGTGTTAAACGGGGATCTTTCCTTTGTCTTTTGCGGTTCTGTTACTCATTTGTGAAATTTTGAATCCCCTTTTTAGGGACATGTTCTGACGGACTGGAGCCTGCAGGACTTTGTTCCAATGGTCAATGCGGGCCAGGATATGAGTGCACTTCGGGCAACCTATGTTGTCCAATAGGTCCAAATGGTAAATTTTGAAGAGTTCGTAAACATGTGTACTTTGAATGCTTTCAGGCTTATGTCCCAGCGGATGGGAAGCTACTGGACGTTGCGTTAACAATCAGTGTGGCGGAACTGCCGTCTGTTACCAGGGACAGGTCTGCTGCCAGAGACGCGGACAAAGTATAGCTGTATGCATTTCGTACAGTTCAATAATCTGTATATTCAGCAACCTGTCCAGACGGCTCTCCTCTTCTGGCTTACTGCATTAATGGCTCTTGTGGACGCAATCTTGTTTGTGTTGGGAACACCATTTGCTGTCCTTCCAGTTCTTTAATAGGTAATAACCAGCGTGTAATAGAATCTTCTTTAAATCGTCTTCGATCCTCGGTCCATAATATATGCAGACCATTTTCGTAATGCACGCTTAACATTCCGCCGAGAGGGCCTACCGTAGTGACGGCAATCCCGTCACCTGCTTAAAGGTTCATCTGCATTTGGGGATGATATTTTTCAGTATGAATAAAAGCAAGTGACACGATAAAATTTCATTAAGGAAAATACTTCCAACGACGGACTGGCTTTTCTATGTCTGTTCTTCGAGCGCCAGAACCGATTCGTGCACATCACCGATGCGTTTCTCACAAGCTGTTTTCCTCTGAGCACGTCTCCTACAGACAGCCGCTCTCATAGCCGGTCCACGGGAACGTATCTGTTAGCAAGGCGTGCATTGCCTGCTACACATGGTTGGCATACCCTGGTAAACAAAGAAACGAAAACGTTTTACGGAACATTCGACGCGTTTCGCTGCCATCACAATCGATGATGCTGCCAGTCTGGGTTACGAAAAGCGTAGACTGTGAAGTAATAGTTTTCGATCAGTGTTTCACATCTCGTCATCCTAACCGTGCATTAGAAAGTTGTCTGCTGGCATGCAGTCCCTTCAGATATCATGAAACAACTACGTACGGTTGAGCGTCGTAGCCCCTGTCTGATCAGAATGGCATGATATAATTAATTCATAGGCACATGGCTTTCTAGCACCAACTTAGAGCCACAGTGAATGGTTGATTTGTCACCGCAGAGGTGAGAGTAGAAATAGCAAATTGAATAATAAATGGCGTACGTCCAATCGCTAACAAACTATAAAATTAAAAGTATGAAATTAAGGGTTGAATATCATTCACTTTTCAACGATCTCTAAGACATCGTCTGAAATGCATCAGCGTGTTGCACGTTTTTTTTATTAAGTTGATGTGAACCGAATTGATAAAGCAGTTGTTAGAGGTAACTCTATATAAATGGCCTGCTGCAGTTAGAATTGAACTGTATATGGCCCAGCGCTTCAAATACGGAGACCCAACGCAAGAAAATAGAAAAGTTATTACGGTGAATGAAATTAGTCGCCTATTCGATGGAAAGCACTTTATCATGCGAGAAGTCAGTCGGTAATTAGTCTGTAACATAATAGGACAGAAGTGCATTGTAGGCAAATAAGTCGAGGGTAAAGCTACCAGAAGGAATGCTGCTAATACTTACACGTTTGAGAAAGCAGACTTGCACAAGAGCTCCGTTCGTTCTAGCATAGATCAGTATCACTAATTTTAAAATAAGTAAATATGACGTCTAGAAATGCTTTACGTTATCATGTTTATATTAGCCCCTTGCAGTGTCTGTTTGCGTAATGTTTGTGCTGAAACCTTGGCACATTCTACGCCACAGGGTACACTTCAGATAGGTGGGCACTTGGTAAACAAAGCCGATGATACATAGATCTTAATTTGACCGAAAGTCCAGTCGAGTACACAATGAGGTTATAATCAGTCAGCTCAGTCAAGTTTACACTGGGGAACTGCTGTCAGCACAGAATAGTCCCATCAGGATTTGTGAACAGAAATTGTACAGAAGGCGAAGCCACTGACAAAAGCTACAAAAAGCCACAAGCTAAAAAAATGAATTTCTGCTCTCGGTGCTTCATGAATCGACTATTTGCAATTAGCTTTTTCTCTTCTTTCGGATTAGTAAAGGTGTCTTAGAAAAATCACAAAAATGGCCAATGATAGACCTCTGTTGAGCAAACATGGCTCGAACTCGGCCCCTGAGTGCTAGAAAAATTAATGTTCCTCCCGGTAAACGAACTTCGGTCAAACAAACGGGATCTTACTTTATGCTATTACATTACTATGCTATGACTATACAATATTTTCATACCTAACGAACGCCGCAGTCGTTAGACTAATCAAGATATTGGAGTCAGTTTCTTAGTGATGATAAATATTCAATCGCTCTGACGTCAGTCACAAATATTACACAGCTTATCAACACCTCTCTGAAACAACTAAAAGCACAGGAACAGTATAATATGAAAAAGTTAAGGTATTCGGTCTTCTGACATTTCAAAGTGGCGTTCAGAGATACAACGGATACTACTATCCTGCTTATTTGATAAAATTATGATGCATTTTAGAAACCAGCACCCCATCGTTTGTTTTGACAGAACCACACAGCAACAGAACGCTGAAGTGGTAGGCATGCAATGAGACAAAAACCAAAAATAGACAACTCTGTATCACAGATAAGGCAACAGACGGTGCATTTTGCAGACGTTTCAAATGAAGCCCCACATCTTCCTCTCATTCAACAAGCAATTTCATAAGTCAGTGATAACATATTTATACAAGTGTCCCATAGAACAAAATTCTATTGCGTGGTTACAATTTAAGGGAAGTGCGCTGATGGAACTGAAGCAGCTGGACTTTGTGTAAACGGAAACTGTGGTGGCGGTCTAATCTGCAACAGAAACAATCTCTGCTGTCCTTCGACGTGGACGCAAGGTACTTAGCCATGAATAAATGCTAATAAAGTAAGAAATTTCAAAACTGTTTGATTTCAGGCGGTTTTGGACAATTTGGGTCTAACAGTCTCGGTCCTAGCAGTTTATTTACTGGTCCCGCAGGCCTTGGTAGTGCTACTAATTCAGGAGTTATTAGTGGAAAATACTCGTTCTGTCCAAATGGAATGAAATCTGACAGTAGTTGTGTCGAACAGACGTGTCGACCTGGCTTCTACTGCACTCCCGAAAATCAATGTTGTCCACGAGGTTCCATATTAACTTCCGGTTAGTACCATTCCTTGGTATTTGTGGTTAATGAATGAACTATTTAGAAATCTGCCCTGATGGAAGGCAAGTGGCAGGCGCTTGCATCAATGGTCGATGTGGAAATGGACTGGTCTGCATAGAAGAGTCCAACACTTGTTGTTATGGAGGAACTCAGCCAAGTATGCAACAACGAAATTTAATGCCGTTAAACAGAAACCCTTGCAGCACATGATAAATATAAGTTTGAAGCAAATTTTAACTTTATCCAATCATTGTCAGCACGACTACGAGGTCATCTCATGGGTAACGCAAATGTATGATGCTATTGATGAAATTGAGGTGGAAAGTTGTCCTCTATTCTGCGGCAGCAAAAGTGCTTGATACAACGAAGAAGAGACAGCGAAAGTAGATATACTCAGTATCTTATCATTGTGATAAATTTGCATAACTTAATGATCATGCATGCCATGAAAAAGCTAAGGTGTGTTTCGAACTGCAAAGGAAGTCGAGTCTGTATGTTAGCAATCACTATCTGCATGAAACCGAATAATTGTTATCAATAGCATTGCGGTGTTTGTTGAATATATGGTTCAACGGCAACACTGTTACTACGATTGCCCCTTCCCTGATATTAGATTTAACTGTCATGTCCCAGTTCGGTGAAGAAAAGCACTGCATTACTTCACCTTCTTAGGTCGCTGACCTGTTATTTCTTCCTCATTTTCATGGCGTTGCCAGTTTTAAGTATGTTCTTAATACCTCACTTACAAGGTAAGTATAATTCTTATTTCTTCAGTAGGATTTGGCTGATTGATTTATTATTAATTCTTGCATACGTCGTTACTCAAAGTTGTTTCAGACAAAAAAATAATCGTACTCCGTACGTTGAAGCGACTGTTTGAATCCTTTCAATTAGAACGGCAAATTCATAACGACAACGCATAAGCTTAACTTCGTTAGATATTAAGCTGGGGTTTTTATGACATTAACTTCAGAGAAAATACTTAACTTTAGAAATACGTTCTCTCCTCTTTTTAATGTGCCAAACAAAAACGATTATTTGCAAATATCATTTTAGCTTCATGTTTCGACGGTTCTTCTCCTTCTGAACCATGCTACAGTGGTCTTTGCAGAGCAGGGTACAAATGCACGAC